CACATTTGAGGTAAGACATGAGTTATTTCAGTTTTTTACGACTACAAAACTTCTGTTATTTTCAAAATTGATGTTTTGAAGCGCGGCAACTAGAGTATTTCGAAAGCTAGAAAGTATTCACCTAATTTTACTTATGATGCACCGTTTGGAACCTCTGATGTAGTAATGAATATCCATAAAATTAATCTAGAATTCTGAACGAGTGTAAATTTCTCAGATTATGAATAAAATTACAAGTTTTCAACAATTGGAATTATTTTCGAATCAAATGAGTGACGAAAAAGCCTAAAAATTGTGGAAAATTTGTGAATATTCCGATTATAGTGAATGATTTTGTTCTGGCTCTACCTGTAATGTTCAAGCTAGAAGAACAATGAGCAATGAAAAAGAACCAACAATTATGATGCAGTCCGTTTCAAAAAAAATATTTTTTCAACAGTGAAATAATTTTTCACAGCAACTGTTCTGACTCAAAGATAAGCTAGGTATCAATGGAGAGAATGGAGAGATAACAGAGTTTTATTTGTATTGATATTCGGGCAAAAACATCTCAAAAACTTCAACTTTCTTCTGCAAATAAAAACGTATTGCTTCCAACAAGCTTAATGTCTTTAAAAAACAGATGGAGCTCGTAAGAAACACCCACAAAAACAACAAATGTTTCAAAGGCGTCCATCGATTTCCAACATCCGAGATATTAAAACCCATCTATCACTTCCGCAAGGACTTTATTCAAATTTGAAGGGCGTCGCGACATTAATCAACTCGGGAACAATTTCCAAAATCTATTAGTCTCCCCCTTTCATAATATAAGTGCGACTGTCGCGCTCCTCCAACCCGTGCTTTATCTCCGGGCGATCGAAATACGTTTCATATAAACTTCCTGTTGTTACATTCTAACAGAATTTCATTTATAACGGAGTATAACACAAATATTTGTCTAAGCGTGGCTTTTAATTCCGGGTCGATTCGCGTGGCATTATTATTAAAGGTATTTCTGTGGGGGTAAATGCGACAGCCGGATGGGGTGGTTTGATGTGCCTGCAGATCCAGCTACACTAATTCCAGTTTAACTGGAATTGTAACTGATTCGAATTTTATCCAGGAGATTATTCACTTGAATTTTGTAATCATTTTTTTTGGTTTATTTTTCAGTAATGAAAATCTAAGAGCACAGTTCCATAGTACTTTCCGAAATAAAAGTTTGGATATATGATATAAATGGACGATACTTGATGAAAGTCTATAACTAACGTCTAAGAGTAATTTCCAGAGAGAGCTGAGTTTGATCAAATTAATCGCGGTTAACAACGGTTATAAGGTAGATATTATAGACTCCATTCATTCCAAAAGACTACAAAGGCAAGCCATGGACCTGGTCTACATTGTTATATTTGGATAAACCAACCAAGAGTATTGCCCGTATCTTGAAAAAGGAATGCGTAAACGTAGCTTACAGAACGAATAGCATAAGTGAATTTATTAAAAACAATAAAGACGAAACTTCGGTGTCGGATAGATCAGGAGTATATAAACCGAATTGTAGCTCTTGCCTAAAACTATATATTGGCCAAACAGAGTGAACATTTTTCCAAAAAATTAAAGAGCATAAAAGTAGTTTGCAAACTATTTTAGCATTTTTAGCAGAAGGACATAAATTCACTCATGAATAGGATGTGTTCCATTTAGAAGATGAGAGTTTGAAACTCAATCTTCTAGAATATTTAGAAATCAATAGATTCGGGTAATTTACTGAATGATCAATTAGAATTGAATCAATCTCCGTTACTAAATATTTTTTCAAATGTTGAAACTGGGACATAAGCTCAGGTAATTTAATTCACTACAAACTTAGGTAAAAATCAGGTACTTAAAATATAGGTACTTCAAATTGTAAAATAAGGTATATTAAGCATTGAATATAGTTAGTAAAGACACGCCTGAAGAAGCCATTGTATGGCGAAACATGTGTTGCGTTTTTGTAAAATCGTTTAGTGAAAATCTCATAATGAAGTGTTTTTTGAATATGTTGAAAGTTTGTAAGAAATTAAATAACTACAATGAGAAGTTTATATAAAGATAATATGTAGATTATGCATACGAATTTTTATTAGATAAACACTGAAAGAAAAAACCCTTTCGAAACAACTATTTCCACATGAGCATTGAATTACACGAAAATAACTTTTTTGTCATTCAAATCATGCTCCAAACGATCTTCATGGAATTGACACAAATATCTTTTATAAATCTACACAAGGTAGTCTATGAAAGAGTATTGATAAATAATATCTCTTACACGGAATATTATCATCTCTAATGGTGTACTTCGGAGTGTCGGGCAAAATAAAACTGTTTCGTCATCTCATCAGCACCGTTTTAGATAACATTACAAGACGAAATACCTATTTCTTTCATGACAATACAGACATTCAAGAGATTAGTTTATTCAATCACTGCCATAGAAATTTCATCTGAATTGCAAAAATAATGATCTCTCCTGAATATTCCATTCTCGATACAACATACATAAAAGAAAAAACGACCCTGTCGCAGTAGTTCGTTAGGCCGCAGTAGTTCGTTATTTTCTGGCGCGATAATTTTCATTTTGCAGTAAGTCCTAAGATATTAATTTGAATGTTAAGGTGAAAAGGACAATTAAATTATGCATGGAATGCTTACGGTACCTAACGCATTTATTCAATGAGGGTTAATATCGCATTGTTTTCAACGGAAGCTTGCAGACATTAATAAAGTATATACATAAACCACATATAAACTCTATCAATTTGTGAAAACCAAAAAGAAATCCGTTCGATAGATTTTGAGTTTATTGCGTTCAAACAAACAGATAGACACTGCGATGGACTTGTTTTATAATAGGTATTGATGATTACATTTTTGAATGCGAGTAGTGATTTCACATCAATTGATAAAGCGCTTCGATGATTTTTCATACTATAATCCTCTATTCTATAGATTGCTCCCTCTACACCCCAAAAGATATCATATTTACTTTTTCGTAGATTTTTGTTTAAATATTTCTTTCTTGTTTCTTGTTTTTTGATATTATTTCAATTCCACAAATGTTTTTGACAGTCCCTACACATTTGATTACCTTTGGGCATTCTTGATTTAATGTTGCTCTTTATTGGCAGTTTCTCCACTTTTCACGAATAGTTATATGAATTCATGAATTTGTTCGAACATTGAGTTTATTTTTTATCTATTTCTTCTAACAAACGTCATTCTCTGGATCTGGCTAAATTGTCTGGTAAGCAAATTTCCGTATTATGATTATATAATGAACGGAACCTTAATATTATAAAAATGTTTCCAGTCGAATTTGAACACATTCCACATTATTATTATTATTCCAGGTTCATATCAATTGAAAAAAACTACAAAACTGCGACAAAGTTGTTTTTATGGATAGAATCCAGAAAAACTAGACTAAGAAATAAAAAGGCTCATAATAAAGCGAAACATTTCAGAAAAGTGTATACTAGGTAAAAATCATTTATAAGATACCTTTTTGAATGAAAATTATTCATTCTTAATCTTTTGTCTCAGTTGTCATTCCTTACATTACTGTGATCATCTTATCTGATTCGATATAATTATTCAAATTGAATTACGATAAGGCTAGCCAACAGTAGGATAAGGAAATGATTTTATTATCATAATTAGGTTTTTAAATGAAATTGGAACACCCAAATGCAGAACAAGTTTAAATATCTTTTCTTGTGATCAAAAAAAGAAAGGTTATACTGACATTAAGTACTAGTAAAAAAACCCTACCCATATATCCGAAGAGAAATTAAAATTATTTGTGTCAAAACTTTGGTATTTTTCCTGATAAAATTATATTGATATAATAAATTCATAAGTTAAAGTGTTTCTGATTTTTTCTATTAGTCACAATGAAAAGATACCATCCGTGTTAGGAATCACACATTAAAAGGTAAGACCTTGTTAATCCTTAGCTCGCACAAGTTTCGACTTCTGAGGGTTGTCGTTCGTAGGGGTGCGCCAGCTGGATAATAAGCGCAGAATCTGTTTAGGTTAGTCGCACATATTTAGTATACCAATTCAGAATTTATTTTGATATTAAGGAATATAGGCTAATTCCAATGCTATTGCAAAAAAAATAATTCTAAGTTGATAGATGAAGGAGATATATAGGGTAGATTTTCTAGGGTATTATGGTTTTACTCGATTTCCACTGAAACTGAAGACCTTTTATCTAATAAGTTTTAGGCAATGCAGACAACAAAAAGATTTACCAATTTTTGTATGAACTATTTTATCACATGACCTGAAATTTCAACAATAAAGACAATTTTTAATTTCTTTTTTCAAAAAATGTTCACGAAATTTGGTTGAAACTAATTTTTATATGTCGCAAATACAATGCACTTTATTTGAATCAAAATATTCACTTTCATTTATATTTTAATTTTAATCCTAAAACAACCGAAAACATTTAACAATATTTTTAAAAATACCAATGGACTTCTTTATGGTCTTCTTTACGGCAGAATATTTGCTTTCTGGTACATTACAAAATCAACAAGAAAAAAAACAAAAGAAAAACAAACAAAAACGTGAAATCATTTTCAGATGTATTGTTAGAAATTTTCAAATATTTGTAAATTTAAAATATAATGTAATCACTTGTACTTCATTATAGTTTTTTTCAATCTTCCAGCATGATAGTTGTACATAGATATGTTGAAAATAATTTTTTCCACATCAGAGCAGAAGCAGCCTCATTCCATTGAACAAGTAGCATCATTAGCATTACACTTTTCACCAAATGAGAAAAATATAAGATTTTAGTACAAGAAAAAACCAAAAACGAACAAACCGTGTTTGTCAATGTTTTTTTTTGGAAAGTTTCAGGTAACATGGAAAATTTATTCATATAAAGTTTCAGATCTTTACATATTATCTATAACTTTCACATTCAAGTTTTTTTCAACTGGAATTCTACTTACAGTGGGGATTGTTAAAAACCATTTTCCATCCCTGAAGTTCACCTTATTTTATCCCCAATACCTTGTATAGGGTTTAATTCACTTTTCCTGATTTAAGCACAATATTTTCTACCCTATATAACAATTTTCAAGTTGTTATTTTGTTTCAATTGTTTCCCTTTCCAACAGGCTTGAGCATTGATCCAAAAGCATTTATTCAGCCAAAAATTGAAACTGAACAACTTTTCTGCCTTCTCGATGGGGTTACGTTGATTACGAGTAGTCGGTAGGACAAACACAGAATCGCTCCCAAACTCGAATCAAACAACACCAAATTCGTCATTTTCCGTCGAAACACATCCAACAAATTCCCAAGCAATGAAAAGTACACACTCTGTAACGAAACGCGTCACGACAATGGCTCTCGACTCCCAAATTTTGAACGCAAACATTTCAATGGCCCCTCTTGTCGCACACACACACATCAACACATGTATTATATGAATGCGAAAACATGACTGGGAACGTTCATCTTATAAACAGGATACAGATACGGCATATTTATCATGGGACGCCTTCACACTTCCAATCGTTTATTATCTCGATCTCTGACACGTCTGAAATTCGCTGATATAACCCGCGAAGGATCCTGAACAGATCGCACGGAAAATGTCGGTGAAAATATCTTGTGGAAGCGAGTGTCGGAAATTGGGCAGAAATAATAAGCTCCGCTTTTAGCACCGCCGGATTTTCGGAAAGCTGGAAGTTCTTTGAAGATTATGGGGTCAGAATATATATTTAACTAGAATAAATCAATAAAAAAATAAATTGACCACTATTAGAAAAAATATTGTGGTGAAATTATTACTTGATAATGAAAAAGCTACATTTTAGAAACATTTCCATAACAAAACAGACTAGGTTTCCAACAAAATAGGGACGGTGGAATAGAAAAACTTTTTGACGTTCTTTTTGGCATATAACTTTTAAAGTGCTTGGTGTTTATCCATGTAATATCAATTTATTTTAAGTACTTTTCTGACGAAATTCGATTACACTAAAAAAAAACACTAACTTTGACAAGACAAGCTTCTAGTACAGGGGTCGGCAAGTAGTTTCAGGTGGGGTCCCCGGTAACTGTGGGAAAATTTTGACGAGAAAAAAACAACTGATAAAAATTGTTTGCTAGTTATGTGTTATTTTGGTTTGAAATCAAATTCTGAATTATAAAACACAAGACCTAAAATTGATGTGAGAAATTATACCGACGTTCTTGAGCCAGTTTTTTGTAGTTTGGTTCTCGAGAGGAACAGCAAATTCGAAGTGTGTTTTTTAGGTGGGCGTCCGTTAATCTCGAATGATATTAGTTTTTCGAACATAGTGGCCAAATGTATAGCTAGTTTCTTGCAATTTTCATATTTTACTGGAACGTATTTGGCCCAAAATTCATCAGTGAATACCGTTTTATATATTTGCAAATACACATCTTCTTGCAAATCAGTTTTATCTCTATTTGAAGTGATGCCTTTGGCAACATCTATCCATTCCGCTACTAAATCAACTTCAAAAGGCGATTTAAGAAACGAATAGCTTGCCCATCTCTGCAAAGTCTTTGAATCTTGTAGCAAATTCGTTCCTAAGATTGCCCAGAAATTTTACAAACATTGCAATATCTTCTTCAGAGTTCTTTTTATATTAAACAATTGTCGGAATATGAATAAATTCTTGTCTTGCAATATCTTTTTCAAAGATATCCAATTTGCGACGGAAAGCAGACACGTTTTGTATCTGATACAATATGTGATTTGATACTAATTTTCCATTTCCTTCTGATTCTGTGTTGAGCGTATTTGAATATTTCAAAATATCTTTTAAAAAAGCCATGACCGGCATATTACGCTCGTTTGTGCTTTCTGGCTCCCTACGTATCTAAGATTTGCAAGAAGGAGGTTACTTCTTCTTTTATCAGCCATAAACTTTCAATAACTTGACCTTTTCTTAGCCAACGAACATTTTGTCGTATATCAATCAGTAAGTCAGAATACGCTGTCAGAAAGAAACTCCTTGAAATGTCGTTGCTAAAGAGCAGAATGAGATCTCATAATTTTAATCAATTCGACCAAGCTGTAGCACTAAGTATTCCACAATGGGCTGCCTGGTGAACTATGCATTGATACAATACGAGTATTAGACCTGAGTTTTTATCCCTGAATCTCTTTACTGCACATTTTTCTTTGCCAATCATTGCTGGGGCCCCGCCAGTTGAAAACGACACCATTTTATATCAACTAATGTTAGATTCAGTAATAAATTCATCAATGACCTTGAATAAATATTCTCCTCGAGTGTGTAACCTTTCAACGGCAATATTGCTAGCAACTCTTCCTTAAAAATCTGACACTCAATATCAAGAAATCTTACGAAAATAGACATTTGTTCATTATGAACAATGTCACATGATTCATCAAGTGCTTATTCAAGAAGACTGTTTTTGATATCAGCAGCAAAAATTTCCATTTTTTGTGTAATACTTCTCGCTGATAATGGAATACTTTTAAATGCAGCGACATCTTTTTTCCTTCAAAAAGTGCCATGCCTAATTCTAACATACATATTTTCACCATCTCTGAATGTGAAAATGGTTTCTGCTGTTTATTAAGCATTCAGCACACACGTAATGCTGCATCTGTGGATTTGTATTGCTCGCTTATGCAACTAACTAGTCATTTTGTGCTTTTTTTTTGGTGAGAACTGAGATATGCAAGGAGTTTTTCTTTACGAGCCTTACTGCCAAGAGAAAAGCTTTTGTGAAATTGCTGATGAGTTGTTTCTTGCTTCAAATTACCACTCTTAACAATAGCGACAGTTGTATTACATAAAAGGCACACTGGAACCGCTTGAGGCGTATTAGGCAGCGTACAACTATATTGTTCAGTCCATTCTATCAGAAACCTCCTATTTTCACTGTCCACTTTACCCTTTTTAGAATCCATATTAGCATAGGTACGAAAATATTATGAAAACGCCCGCACTCCCGATTTTGATACGCGCTCGCGCTTGTTTCAATAAAACAAAATAGTGACAAGCGCGCAAAAACACACTTACACACAGGATAGATAGGAAAGTAATAAAACCATATCAGTTGTAGATACTTGTAAAATAGGTTGACTGGGCAACTTGAAATAAAATAAGTACATGTTAGGAATCACACGTGTTAGGAATCACACGTTAAAAGGTAAGACCTCGTTAGTCCTTAGCTCGCACAAGTTTCTCAACTTCTGAGAGTTGTCGTTCGTATGGGGTGGCAACTGATTAATGGAAAAACAGATTTTAAACAGATTTTTTAAACATACTTAGTCGAATTCTATGTGGCTTAAAAATATTACTTTAATTAATAAAGGTATATTATACCTCATCTACATATTAATTTTTATACTTGGTATGTAACACATTATGATATTTGGCGGTCCTATGTTCGACTTTTCGCGGTCCGCCTGTTGCTGACCGCTGTTCTAGTGGGTACCCTGTATATGGAAAAATATTTCAAAAAATCCACAGCGTAAAACTAACTTCGATACGAAACATTTTTTAATAACTCACTCCTTCATCCCAAACTTCTTCTACTGGACGTTCTGACCTAATGAGTAGGTATGATTTTTATCCACATTTCTTGCTGATGGTTCCAATAATGAACCAATATTCCTGTAAATGTAAGAAGTAAACAATTACCATACTTATTTTGCCCCGCTAGTTCTCTCATTGTGACATATGAGACAAAACAAATCGAGCAATTTCTTTTTTATAAATCTTCCTATTATGCCACCTTCTCTATATGGAACCTCCACTTAACGTAATCAAACTCTTTTCAAAACCTTCATGTACAGTTTTAATTATAATCCCTTCAACAAATTGCATTCCAAATTGGGAGCAAGATATCTGATTAGCTGAAATTGACGACTTTCTATCAAATTACATTTCCCAATGATATGACGTAAGAGCCTAACCGCGTCCCCTGTACAGTATATCAATTCATCTAACGAAGTTATTTCTATTCAGTTCTTCTCCCAGTCGTGTACCATATAAATACCGTATTCAAATCAGGAGAGTCAATCCAATCATCCTAATGTGGAATAATTTAATAAATATGGAGACCAATAACACCATCAAACCCATACGGTTATTCGAAGTAATATCTTCTTCTCGCTGACAAAGAAAGTCTACGAAAGGAATGTTTAGACGATATAGTCGATGCACTCGAGATAAGTTGGGAGACATGGAACTGATACAGCCGCTGATAATGTTCGATTGTAAAATAGTTTATTCTGTCGCGATGATTGAGTTATTATTCTCAATATCATCGTAATGAAGTTATCAATCTTTGTTTAGAACTATTCGAGGAACAATTTTAATTGAACCGGCATTAAGGAAATGTTTTTGCTATTAATACTGCGACTTTTAACCTTGATCTGAATTTTGCGATTTGGAACTCCCACATCTTCCTGCAACGCATTTGTACGATATTCTGCACATCCTTATCACTTGTCACATTGATATAATTCAAAACTTCCTAGTGGTGTCTGAAAGTTACTTCTTTACTTGATCTACTTTTTTGAAATTTACTGCTTCCTTCCTTTTTTTGGAAGATTCTTACATTTTTTGTATGAAGATGGAGATAAAGAAAACCGAAACTTTTCTTTCCCAAAAATATACCCCTTTCAATTGAAACATTCATTAGCTAATATAATATTTTCGATTATTTCACCAATCAGTCGAAGAATTCCATTGATAGAGGGCAATGGTTGATGTTACATACTGCATTAATATCAAAAAAGTTATAAGTTCTGACAAAAATAACATTAATATGTTTAATCAAAAACTTCAGTTGAAAAGGTCTGTCAAAACTATCGAGAATCAAAAAAACCAATACCCTGGTTTGTCTACCACAAGTGGAAATGGCATGAATAATGAAAAACCTTCTAAGAAAGTCATGAGTATGGAGGATTTGCTCTTGGATTTTCCTAACGCCATTAGAGTCATCTCAATATAGGCCCTAGACATATAGTTAATCCCATATTAATCCTATATGGAGCTGATAAATTTCAAAATATTATGAAAACTTGCAAAGGTGAAGCAGTGCAATAAAAAATGGACTGATTTTTAACAGGAGTTGTTTGTTCAATACAACAGGAAACAATGAGCTCAATAATGAATAAATGTGGGTGAATTTACATATAGTATCAGCATTGCACTCGTGCGGAACCGTGGCGGATTGCTAATTAAATACACAGCCAAACAATCCCTCACCAAACATTCATAATGATTTTTCTGTTGCGGCACTTCAAAAATGAGACTTCTATTAATCAATTTCTGGAATTGTTGAAAATCCTTTGAAATGTAGATATTTGAAAATCTACATAAAAATTATAGAATTTTTGAAAATCTACGGTGTTAACAAGTCGTAAAAAATGTTATTCCCC